AGCTTAGGACTCAAATCAGCAAAAGCAAGGCAGTTCAAGTGGATATTGATGCTCCAGGCTGACCCTGTATCACTCATGCTACACATCGTACACGGCATACCTGCACCTGACTGTGAGCCCCTGCAGGGTTTTGATACAGGTGTCTCTTCTGGGTCAACTTCTTTGGGGTTTGAGCGCTTGAGTTCTCATAATACAAATCTGTGTGAAAGCATGCTGCGTGCGTTAGCAATTGGCATTCTCTCAGCAGTGAATCTGAGACTTAGTTTGTCTGCTTCTTACTCAGAGTGATAGGCCTGTGTGGAGAATGAGGAGGGCAGTGGCTGGCAGGATCCTGGCATACACAAGTTGGTTTGCCCAGGGCACCTCAACCCAGCACTGGACACCATCTGCTTTCACAGGGTTATGCTCCTCAATCAGATGAACCATCACTACCAGTGTTGCAGAATTATGAGGTGCTTTTATGATATGGGGAGAGATCTGCTAATGGCTTGGGGGAGACTCACCCCTTTTCCTCAGAAGCCACATTTGATTTCTCATCTGTAGGTGATGCTTGGTACTGAGCAGCATTGTGCATCTTCAGAGCGCTGTACAGTTTGCAATGCAATTGTGAGATGGACATGATACCCCTTTCACAGCTGAAGAAACTGTGATGGAGTTTATGTATCTAACCTGGGGCCACAGATTCGGTGACAGAGCTGGGAGGGAGGTTCATGATGATGATAGATATTTGCAGTACAATTGCACCCAGTGGCACCCTTGCCATAGACCACTGGTGCTGTACAAGCACAGAACAGAAAGATAGCCCCTGTCCCAGCCCCAAGACGAGAGGTAATAGATGCAAGGGTAGCATAAGGAAACTCTGAAACAATTCTGTTCAGCATGATGACCAGAGGTCTTGCTATAGCAGTGACCTAGTTGTTGTAGGTATCCCAGCAAAGGAGAGCAGAAAAGGGATTTGAGGATATTGAGGTTACTTCCAGAAGCTGTTCCTGAGAGGGAGGGACAGCATGGAGAAAGCAAAAAGGCACCTCCTCAGAGGACCTGACAAATGGGTGATGGAAGCTAACACTGGCCAGGTAGAGGCAGTAATCTCACCACCTTGGGGAATGAGAGACTAGTTGTGCAGGGGTAGCCTGTGAGAGTGCAGATAAGTAACATGTTTAATGTATCAGCTTCACAGCTCTTAAGGTCCTGCTCTGACTACTGGGTGCTTCCTCACTGGAGAGGAGCGGTTAATGGAATAGCCAGGTACAAGGCCTGGTCTTGAGATGGGCCTTCTGAGGCAGGGGTCGGGTGTGAAAAACCTTTCTTTAGTTGTTAGCATCATTAATGCCTATGGTGCTATTTCTAATGGGAAAAGCACCAGTCAGGCTCTCTCTCCTCCTGCATTTTCTGCTCTGTTATCATTGCCTGAGGAATTTCTTGAGGCACTATGCACGGTTGGTCTGGCATCCTCACAGCTTGTTTTGCTTCCTGCCTAAGTGATACCTCTTGAGCAATACCAAAAAAACCTAGTAGCAGCTCTGGCACCCAGACTCTGAGACAGCATTTTGATGCAAAAAAGATTTCAGAGAATATATAAATACGTAATATGCACTAGGGTGCTTAATAATTCATCTTCCACTCTGAGGAAAGCATGCTTTAAAAAAACAACACACCCTCTGGCATTACTCTTCCCTCTTCAAGCTCCAGCCCTTTCTAATGGATAAGTCCAGTGTCATGAGCATCGGAGAAGAAATGCTTCATATTCCACCTTATGACAAGCTTATGTATTCCCTTGCCTATCAGAACTTGTTGTAACTTGAGAAAGAGAAAGAAAGGGCAATTTGAATGCAACTGACTATTTCCTTCCTTTTTAGAACTGAATTTTACAACCATTCTAAAAATAGGACAACCCCTTTTTCTTCTTGGATCCCTTCCTAGGTGGGTTTAATACAGCTCTCTTAAGATACTGCTTGACCAGGACTTACCTTTTTATTTCTTCTTTGGCTGGGCTGGTGAAAACAGCAATAGTTCTTTTCATATGTCCCTAATCCATGAGCAGAGAGAGTTAGCTGTATTAGTCTGAAGCCGGGCAGAAGATGGGAAGAGATGCACCTTATTGACTTAACTGAATCAAAGGTGCATAAGCTTTTGTGATTATGCAATCTGATGAAGTGAGCTCTTGCTCATGAAAGCTTATGCACTTCTGACTCCTAAGGTGCATCTCTACCTTGCCTCCTAATTGCATTCCTGATCCACGTGGTATTATAGCACTTAAAGTTCTCTTAAAATCTCCTCCAGATGAAAAGGAATGTTTTAGTTTCAGGCGGGGGTGGGGGAAGCACCAGAAAGCATAGTGTGGGAGCCAGGAATTTGGATTTTGTGCGACTGTAGGCAGGTCACTTTCTACCCTGAATCATCTCCTGCAAAACGAGGTTAATGCTGTTGAAGGCTCTGGCTGGGGAATGGGGCTGTGTGGTTTTGGTAAAGGATTATATGGCTAAGTGTTATGACCTTGGAAGTCATATAAGTGCAAAGTGCTGTTCGAGTTGAGAGCAGGGCGACACTACCATAAAGAATGAGGCAGGGAGTATGCACATTGATATATAATTTAGTGCTCACAGATGTCCCCGCTTGTTTTCTTTTTTTTCCAGTTTGAAATTGTCCTCATCGCAGTGGAAGGGCTTGTTGCAGTTTATACAAAATGACATCATCTTAAAAAGTCCCCTCAGCTTGATTTAATTCCATATTTTCTCCTTCCCCGTTCTTACCCTACGACAGGGCTGTTGAGTTTGAGAGGCTGGGAGCCACGTGCCACTTGGGCTGCATGCTAAGCAGCAGGCACCCTGCAGGACCCCACACACTGTGCCACGTACCCGCCCCCCCTTTGCACTGTTACAGTGCCCTCATGCCCCACACACCGCACCATGCCCATGTGCCAGCATCCCACACTGTGCCAGTACCCTGCATGGGTCAGACTTGGATATGGTCTGTGGGCTACCAGCTAGGCAGCCTTGCTGTGCAGTTATCAGTGGTTGGGGAGCACAGTTGTACGATGCACTAGAGCTGTTTTGGCATGTATTTTGTTACAGGGACCTGCCATAGGCACTGAGCCAGCTGCATCTCTGACCCCTCTTGGGCATGGAGGGGCTGTGACCCTTCCTGCCTTTTGCCATGGCAGGCGTCTCCTGCCATCAAAGCCCAAGTTTGCAGCTCTCTGGTATTGGCAGTGATTACCACAGCAGCTAGGACTTGAGCTCGCATACAGCAGTTCTGTCCACTCCATCAGTGGTCAAACAGCCTCTTAAAGCAAAACATGTGAAACAAAAGTTTTCCAAAGATAGCATACATAGCTTGCTTCTTCCTGAGATTAACTGTTCCCTAGATCTGGGAAGAGCCAATTTTTAAGCCCGTTAGCTGGCCTCTTTAGATGGCTTTGAGAATTGTCCCCAGCCTCTCTGACTTCTTCTAAGAACGGCTTAATTCTTAGTTTTCTCTTGGTCCCCAGGCTCCTGGCTTTGGGGAAAACAAGACTGTCAGCTTCCTTGGGCATAGGATCCTTGAAGCCAGTAACTTGCTATCCATTGTCATTCAAGTGTGCATGTGGAGTGTTCTTATCTAGATGTATATTGTATGAGCTTCCTGTCTGCTCTTCCAGCAACCCCTATTACATTACATTAGCTCAGCCGTACAGAAAATTCAAATTCTCCCCCTCCCCACCACAGTCACTCTCATAGTTATGCAGTAACTTCATCTCACTGACCAGCTCGTACGCATTGTTCATAAAGTTATCATACCTCTGTATTTTTAGATTACATAAAATTGTTCTATCTGTCTCTGTACCTGCTTAGGAGTAAACACAGTTGGTTAACATAGCTGCACTGTAGTATTTTTTTGTTTGTTATGCAAGACTGTTTGCAGTACAGTGGGTTGCCAGTGTGTTTAAATATATGGATTTGGGCCCTGATACCTTCCAAGTGAAACTTTCTCAGCTCCCAAGTTTATTTTGAGTGCCCAATCCCTGCCAGCATGCCCTGGGTGTGAAAATGCAGCTGTTTTCTCTACTTCCTTTTCAGTGTTGTATACAAAGGTGCTCAGAACTTGCCTGGCAGGGTGGCTAATGCAGGAGGCAGAACAGAATTTGCCTTTCTGCAGCTCTATGAGGAGTTCTTAGCAACAGGGGTTGTGTCAGTGAAGCAAGTAGATCAGATGCATATGTCCAAAGAACAGCTTAGATTAAGACAGGGCTGCACCACAGTTACTGGAATGTGAAGGGAGTTGAGGGGTGATCGTTTGAATATCCATGGACAGTGTAGAAGGGCTAACCCACATGGACCTTACATTCAACACTGCTGGCATTATTGGGTGGCTGAGGGGTGTTCTTGGGCTCCAATAAAAGGCCCCTTTCCAGTGCCTTTGCAAAAATTTCCATTGCTACAGCATCAGTAAGTGGTAAAATTGCTCCTCTGAACAGGCAGTTGGCCATGCTTTCCACACTGATGGAGTGCAATGACGAGAATGTGGACAGGTTTATTTTGGAGTGAAGTTGCACCTCTTAGCGATACCCACAATGGTTTTGGGGTTTTTTTTAACCCAGAACTAGCAGCAGTGTATTTTCATTTGCCTGGAGCAAGTGTGAGCCTGGGCAGCAGCAGGGAGAGCCAAAAGAGAAAAGGGTCCCTACTTACGTTGCTAAGTGTGAAATGGGAGGAAAAATAATGTCATATATTTGCTGCTGCTGCTAGAAGGTCTCTGAAACAAAAAAGATGGAACCTGCTTCTCTCCAGCAGTGTTTTCCATGAGTGGAATTCACTTTACATGGAGATGGGGGTGATTTCAAAGGGGCTCCTGTGCCTTTGAAAATCCTCCTTCTTCCCCTCCTGCTTCACTTCCCCCCACAATTGGACCAGTCAGTCTAGGACCGATTCCACTGTGTTGCAAAGGCTTCAGTAATAATTGGCTAGTAAAGAAACTATAGTGTGCAATTATCTTATGAGTATCCTTCATGTTTCCCATAGGTGATGCACTGATGAGCTCGTGGATGCTGCCCTGATTGCCATAGGATCCAGTTGCTTCAGCTGAGGATGAGCAAGCCTAGAGGCTTGCAGCAAGACCTGGAACAGAGCCTCCCAGCCATTGCCTCTATAAGCAGCTCGTTCTCCCAGAGCCAGGGCTTTTCCCCCTACTACTACCTCTCTCCAGAGAAGCGGAAAGCCATCTCGGATGTTCGGAGGACTTTCTGCCTCTTTGTCACCTTCGACCTACTGTTTGTCTCTCTGCTGTGGATAATTGAACTGAACGTGAGTTTGAGGCCCTTCCTACTGGGGAAGTGGCAAGTGGATCTCCCCCTGCAGGCCAGGGTGGATAAAAATCAACGATTAAAAAAAAATTTAAAAATCAGATTTTTTGTATTTAATCAGATTTTTTAAGGTGCTTAAAAAAAAAAGCCTATATAAAGATAGTTTAAACTTAAGATACATTAAAGCTCAAAAATATCATCATGGAATAGGGATTGTAACTTTTAATTGTATACTATTTGAGACAATATACTCGTGTAACTTTTTTAGAAAAGTTTTATAAATAGGTCGCAACCGGTCATATTAGGGGCCCAATCTTATGGGGTTCCCAGAGGCTCCTCTAAAGTTTAGTAAAGATTAAAGAAAACTACTCTACCCAATGGGACTCTAAGTCTAGAAGATCCCATTTAGTGTCTCTGTGCTGCTTAGTTTCAGTTCTCAAACTGTGGATTTGTCTCCAGAGATAACATCCTTGTTAACAGCAGTATATGGAGATGAGAGAGAACTGACCTGATTACCTATCCATCAGCCCTGTTGATAGGTAATCAGGTCACAAACTCTGCAAGTTTGTGTACATACAGTCAAGCCCTTACCGCTCTCATGCATTTTGTGCATGGGAATGGTATTGTAGAAGGTAAAACCTATCATGGCAGCAGACTTGCCAGGCCATAAAAGAGAGAAGAAATGAAAGATGAGAAGAAATCTAGAAGAAAGTGAAGAAAGCCCCAACCTAATAACATATAGCTGCAGCACTCATTTGATGTCCTCCTAATTCAGCATGGTAAAAACATCCCCTAAATACCCATGATTAATCTAGTGAATTGGAGATGAACTATCTCCCAATGGCTTCACAAGTATCTGCTTCAATTAGCTTTGGTAAATAAAATAATCAAATCATAATTCAGTTTTCTGATATAGCTGCAAAATTAATCTGAAAAAATATCAAAGTAAATCACTGCTTTAAAATGTATAGCGTTTCATTCTAAAATGAAACCTACATCTATCTCTGAGTTGTGAATAATATCTAGTAAGGTTATATCAAACAACAAGAATGCACTTTATTGTAGAAAACAATGATTAATTAAATTGAGGCTTCCTGATCAGTGATTTAAATTAATTTGATTTAAACAAACCCACCCTGCTGCAGGCTTTGACTTTGGAGAGGCATTTAACTTATGAGGGGCGTTCAACCCCGCAGTATGTGTGCCACATGTGGCATGGGCAGCCTCTGTGTGTGGCATATGGCAGACTGGGGAGGGAGCATGGAACCCAGCAGTAGATAAGGCAAGGAGCAGAAAGCAGGGCAACAGGTCAGGCAGGTGAAGGAGATCAGAATGGCACTTAAGGATGTGGGGCTTTTGTAGCATACTTGCCCAAAAGGTTGGCTCCTGTTGACCTATGTTAAAGGCCCTGCTTTGAAACTAGAGGGCTATTTTTCATAGATTTCATAGACATTAGGGCTGGAGGGGACCTCAGAAGATCGAGTCCAGCCCCCTGCCCCAGGGGCAGGAAGTCAGCTGGGGTCAAAGGATCCTAGCAAGATAAACGTCCAGGTAGATCTCAGCTAGATCCTTAGCTGAGTTCCATAGCCCTACACTGGCTTATGCCAGATGGATATTTGGTCTGGCATCATAATAAGTAGAAATACCAGTCCACTTTTATGTGTCCTGTGTAGTATTCAGGTTGTCTGCTTTTTCTGCACTCCTCAGTATTGAAAGCAAAGCAGTCCATTTGCAGCATAGTCACCCTCACAAACCAGTTACAAGACCTATAGATTGTTGAACTGCTCAGTGCGAGCATCTGGCCAACGTCCTCTCATTTCTCCCATCTGAAAGTGGGGCAAATGAACCTTTTTGGCAAGTGAAACCTTAGCCTTTGTGTTGGCAACAATGAATATAGCAAGGAATGTCATGCTATCACAAACTGAGCCTATAGGCCAAGGCAGGAGTGGTTGGGTGGTTACTAGCAGAGTATTTTTACAGCTCTCAGCATCTGAAAACCAAAAATGCTCCTCAGTGCATCAGAATGGGTCTGTGAGGAACCCTTCCAGTGATCCTAGAGCTTGTGCACAGATTTCTTTTTCATCTAGAGTTAATTGTGCACTTGTAACCAGAAGCAACATCAACTGAGAGAGCTTGACTGATGAGCTTCTGAATCATAATTAGAAAAGAGGGAATAGGAACTGTTCAATTACCTGGTCCATGTGTTCCCATTCCACCCATGTCATAATAATTCCTTACACTGTGGGATGGCTTTTGTCTTCTGTCTAGACTAGTTTTAAACGTCTTGGGTGCCTGGGCTTTTGAGTTGCACACACTGCTGTTCTGCTGTGTTGCAGTATAAGCAAAAAGAAGAGCTGCAGGGAGGGGCTGAAGAAGAGCTGAAGTGACCTATTTCCACATGCAACCCTCACTGGCCTGGGTTTATTTATTAGGACTGGATCCTGTGATTGCATATGAACTTGTTATCTTTATGATCCATTTACTTTATTCAGAGTCTGCACTTAGAACTGTATCTCAGTCAGGGGTTCACCTCATGTTGCCCACCAAAAACAGTAGGAATAGTGTTGAGGGTTGAAAAAGCAAGCCTCCCCAAGAGGAAAGAAATGCATAGTCACCACCACACTAATGCCGATAGGCTGGAGTAGAAACTCAGCTTAGGCCCTGTTCCTCCCATGAATGCTGTGCTCTCTAGAGGTGATGGTGCCATTCTCTGGGGGTTGGTTTTAGAAGAAATACCTCTTTTCTGTGTAATTTGCTATCTGGTTCAAAGCAATAAACTGGTGACCAAGTTACCAAATTATTTTTCACGTGCCAGTTACACTCGCTGTCATGTTGGCTCATAAGTTTTCTTTAACTGGTGGCTAAATGGTAACGGTTGGGCCCCGAGCCCAGGCACTGCATGTTTAGAAATGGTAGGAAGGTTCATTTGCAATGTTATGAAAAGTACTGGGCTTGTGCTGTGATTAATGCTTTTTTAAGAAGCATCAGACAGTTCTTTTTTGATTTATTTGGCATAAGCAAATCAGCCAGTCCTCATTAAGTGTGTCAGTTGCTTGCAAGCACGACTTCTTCCGTTCATTGCAGGATTGAAGGAGCATCTCAATTTCCTTCATTCATTCAAGGCAGCAGGGTGCATTGATTCTTATTCCCCCCAAGACTTTTAACCCAAAGCTCTTGTTCCTATGGTGAGGTTATATGCCAGATGTGAACTTGGAATGAAGCTTTAATTTCTGTAAAACCTGCTGGATTATCAGTCCTGGAGATTGCTGCAGAAATAAATGCAGCAGGATGGGAGTAGTGCAGAAATGTAGTGACCCCCAGCTCTGTGCCCTGGTTCTGAGCAGGAGGGAAGGCATCTTGATGGCTGCTTATTCAGTCCTTGGCTTCTTTGACAGAAAAGTGCCAATTAGAGTAGTGAATTTGAGTAGGTGGGTGTCCATCTACTATGAGCTGGACTGAGATCCACTAGCTTATTTCTCTTGAACTGTCAAACAGCTGTCAGAATGCAGGAGCTTCAAGTCCAGCTGGGCTATATTCAACCCAGTAGCCTAAAGGTAAAAAGCTCATTCCAGTTACCTGAGCCATCGAATTCCTTTAGACACCACAGTTCCAAGCTTCTGGAAATAGAATCTACGGTGTTAAAAATACTCCCGCTGTCAAACTCTTATCTATCTTGTGATTAAGTCTGAGGCCAAGAGCCACTTCGACAAAATAGGTGGTAACCAGTGCGCTCTTTGTATGTAAAACTAGTCTGAAATCATTTTGCTTTTTCTCTCTCTCTGACCCAAGCTACTTCACACTATCCTGGGAAATGAATAATAAACAATCCAGTCTTTCCACCATGTTTACTTTACTGTTCTGTCAGTTCACATTGAATTGTCAATAGTCCTTTAAGAAAAACAGCTTTTATTTATTTATTTATTTAACTTTAAGTACTGGTTTCCCCATTCAGAGTACACTTTTGATCGATGGGACAGAAGAGAAGCATTCTCGTTTGAAATCAGACAAGGTGGCATACTGTACCGATAAGGGACGGTAAAGAGTCCTTGCTTTGGGAACCTGGTGGAATTGATCAATGACAGTAACATCTATAAAGATCTCCAAAATGATACTTCTAGGACCGTGGTTTTCAACCTTTTCTCACTTGTCAACCCATAACAAATTTCAAACGGAGGTACGGACCACTTTGGAAATTTTGAATGGAGATGCGGACCTCTTTGAATTGTAAGCATGGGTATTCACATACTTTTGATTGATTGTGGTCATCTTTTTGCAGACCCCTTAGACAGTCTCTGGATCCCCAGGGGTCTGCGAACTACAGGTTGAAAACCACTGTTCTAGTATTTGGACCAGTGAGAAGAAAACAGCAGATTAAAAGACACCACCTACTTGGAGCAGCTATTTGGTGATAAGTAACTGTCGCCTACCTGCTCTTGGGCCTTAACCTAATTTCACTGAGGTTTAAACTGCCCTATTTAGCTTTTATTTACTGCAGAGTAAGAGTGGATACATTAAACAGTTATGTGGAACAGCTGCTTTGGGGTAAGACCCCGTCTCCTTTTAACTTCTATAACATCAGTGTGTCCGTAAGCTTGATGGTTTTCATTGTGTAAGTCTCTTTTTAAAGTTAATGGATACTTTTTGAGACATCCTCTATCCACGCACTGTCTTAATGCACCTAAATGATGCTCTAGCTTTGGTACTTGGCTAACACTCCTTGGCGTAAAACAGACGGTAGAATGGACTGTTTCTTGCTTTCATGAATAAATGTTTGTTGAGTCTGCTTATGCATTCCCCTGGCCTGTCTGATACCTAATCTGCACTGACGGCAACCTTAAATTAGAACTGTCTGACTTATGTCATGAGTGTCTTATCGGCATGCTCAGTTGTTCTTTCTCTTATCTCTTGCTCTCAGACGAACAATGGCATCGAGAAGAACTTGGAGACTGAAATCATTGACTACCAGTTTAAAACCTCTTTCTTTGATATATTTGTAAGTATCCCAAACCACAGAATCTCCCCCACCCCTATGTCTAACATTAAACACAATGTAGTTTAACAGCCACAGCACTGAGCCAGTGTTTGGGAAACGGGTTCTTTTCTAAGTTCTCTTGCTTCTACTGTTTGACCTGGGGCAAAATACTGCCCCTCTTGTACCCATTTTTCTGTCCTGCCTTCTTTCATGTCTGTTTAAGCCATAAGCTCTTTGGGACAAAGTTCATTTGACACATTCTCTCTGCACAGTACCCAGCACTGAGGCTTTTAGTGAGGAAATAATGTAAATAATAATTCACCTCTGCCTTCTTGTTTCTAAAGGTCTTGGCTTTTTTCCGATTTTCTGTGCTACTACTGGCCTATGCAGTATTGAGGCTGCGTCACTGGTGGGTTATAGCAGTAAGTAGTCAAGTGTCTCCTTTAATATTTATGTTTTCTGTGTTTTATTTTTTTTTCCATTGAAGTTTACAGGCTAATTTGGAGTTGATCTCTTTTTCTGTTTCAGTTCACTACACTGGTGTCTAGTGCCTTCCTGATCGTGAAGGTGATTCTGTCTGAGGTGAGTTTTTAGCAAGGCTTCTAACAAGGGATTTCTCATGTTCTGTTTTAACTTCCCATTTTGTATAACCCCCCCTATGGTTTTGCTTTCTTCCCCCAGCTTCTGACCAAGGGGGCTTTTGGCTACTTGCTTCCTATCGTCTCTTTCGTCATTGCATGGCTAGAAACTTGGTTTCTGGATTTCAAAGTCTTAACTCAAGAGGCAGAAGAGGAACGATGTAAGTCAGTTTTTTCCCCTTTCATGTTGAGAGATGACGGATGAAATGAAACTACCTAAGCCATAGTTTCTGTTGCTTTGGTGACAGTGTGACATTATAGGCAGGTTACAATAAGTCACCTGACTTGCCTCAATACATGGTATATAGGTGCTTTAATAGGAAGAAAATAGCTGATAACAGGGTGGCCAGCCAGCGGAAGAATGCAGAACAAGAGCCAATGTCTGGAAATTGAAACCAGGCCCATTCAAATTAGGACGAAAGCACAAATGTTTAATGCTGGGGGTAATTAAATAGTGGAGCAAACATCAAGGAAAAGGCTGGGTTCTTCACTTCTCCATTCCTTTCAGAAGTATCTATTTTAATCCAATGTGAGAGATTCAGCTCAAGACAAAGGAACCTGGATGGGCTTCTTTCATCTAATGTTTCCTCCTGACCTTAGAACAGGGTTGGGCAATTATTTTGGGCGGAGGGCCGCTTACTGAGTTTTGGCAAGCCATTGAGGGCCACATGATAGGCAGCCGAGGCAGATAAATATTAATTTTCTAAATTTTTTAGGGGCCCTGCAGGCTGGATAGAATGGCCTGGCAGGCTGCATCTGGCCCCCTGGCCACATTTAGCCCACCCCTGCCTTAGAACCTGTGAATTAGTTGAAGACATTAAACACCTAGGGATCCCATGGACTTCACTGGAAGGTCTGGGTGCTGAAGCACCTGAAAATCAGACCAAAATAGAAGGCTTCTGCCTTTATCTTTCTGGTTCTTATAACAGTTGTGCCTGTGACTGCAAGAGAATCTTCTTATCCCTTGTCTTGTACAAAAGGAATGGAGGAGCAAGGCGGGGGTGTGGGGGGGGAGAGGGCAACAGGGAAGATGGCGCATAAACCAGCAAGTTTTTGTCAAATTACTTGCTCACAAATGGATTGATGCAATGGAAAAGACCAGAGGATGTTCAAGTCTTGCAAGGAGGCTTTAAGATGAAAAATTACCAAGTGTTTAATGCCATTATTGAATTAAGAGCACGTTGCACATTGCTTGCAGGGGAAGCACTTATTTAATTAGATGCTTAATTGCTTTTGGCGTTGACAGGCAAAAGAACCCATTGATCTCCATACAGATAAAGTGTTGCATCTCAAACGAAAGATGAGGGAACAGGAACAGAGTATGCTTTTTTTTTAAGCTGGTCTGTGTTCTTGCCAAGATACAGTCCAGGCCCAACACAAACCAGTTCCAAGGTTACTTAACCGAGATGGTTTTACCTAGAGGTGGGGGAACCTCTCTGTTTCATCTCTGATATGTATATTAACAGCTTGCATGTCTCTTTTTTCCCTGTAGGGTACTTGGCAACCCAGGCGGTGGCATCCCGAGGCCCCCTGCTCTATTCTGGAGCCCTTTCTGATGGGCAGTTCTATTCTCCTCCCGAGTCCTTTGCAGGTGACAAATGTTTTTCCATCTTCACGGCATACAGTGGCCTTCTGTGTCTGGGTTTAGTTGCTTCCGCAGCATTCCTTGTGGGTTTCCTCTTCCCTGTTACCACCTCCTGCAAAGCTCCTTGCTGAGCCTTGCCTAATTAGACCACCCCCTTCTTGGCAGTGGAACTAGCAATGCCAACAACAAGCAAGGCTGGAAAGTAAACTCGCTTTGACTTCCCCTGCGTGTGGGGCGGAGGGGGAGGGCTATGTTGTCTAGTTGTTCCTGTGGCCATCTGTGGAGTGGAGGAGAGGTGGAGAACAGTCATACTTAACATTTTGTTGCCTTGACTCTTCTGCACTGCCAGTCAGAGCAGAATGTTTTCTTGGCTGGGTTTAAGCAACAGCTCTAATCCCTGGGACAGAGGGTTGATTAAATGCCCTGCCGGATGTCACTCGGAAGAGGCAAATGTCCTGCCTTCCGCCTCCAAACAGCAGAGCAGTTAATGTCAGCTGGGTGACAGGAGGTGAGGGTAAGATGGAGGCTTCATGGCTTTTTCAGAAGGAACATCATTTCCTGCTCTTTCTGTCAGAGAAATCATGGGCTCCCCTGCATGGATTTGTGTGTCCAGAGCCTGGGGTGAAGAGGGAGGCCCTATTAGCAAGTTCTATACCTTGTTGTCTCTTTCTTTAGGATCAGATAATGAGTCTGATGAAGAAGGTTTGGGGAGGAAAGTGTTAACGGTTCAGGTAAATGGTGACAAAGTTGCTCCCAATGCTGAGATGCCAGCTTTTTCCCCTGTTACTCAGATTTGTTTTCAGGCTGTGGTTCATGAGACCTGCCTGACATGGGTTCATAACTAGCCCCACAGGATGCTGTGTAAATTGGCTGGGAAGGAAGATCTGTCCCTTTTCCTCTTCTCAGAGAACTGAAAGTCATGAAATGTTTTAGCTACTAAGAGATCTAGGCAGCCGAGTCACATTCCCTTATGGTCTGTGGGACAAGCTGCTTCTGCTCAGAATCCCAGCCACCCCCTCACTGCAACATAAGTTGAACTTCCCTGGCTCCCTATCCCTTTAGCTGCCCTTTTTAAAATGGTTCCATGTTCATGATTACAGCTGTCTTCTGCCTGCTTCCTTCCAGTTTCCTTTAACTCAGTGACCATCCTAAATCAGTAACAGGAGTCTTAGCCCTGCTATCCTGGCCAAATTTTGGCTTAAGTAGCATTCTTCTGCCCCTTTCTAAATCACTCCATAGATGCTGTTCCACCCCTGAGGTGGCTGCATCCGGCACCAAGGGAAGTGACTTTTGGTATGGCTTGTAACATTCCTAGTACTAAAATGCTTTGGAAAGAGAGGGGTACCAATCGCAGAGATGTTCAGCTAGCATGTGAATGACAGTGAGACAGGAATCATGGCTTTCAGGTTCTAGAACACAGGCCTCTGTCTCCTTAAGCAAAAGAAACTTCCTGTATTGGGAAGGGTTCTTTACCTCCAGCCTAGCTACTAGCGTTAACAAGATTCTCTGGTACCCAAGGTCAAATGAACAGATTCTTTTTTCCTCCTAGGAGAAAGAATATGTCCAGCAAGGCAAAGACGCAATGGAAGTTGTGGATCAAATCCTAGCCCAGGAGGAAAACTGGAAATTTGAGAAAAGCAATGCAAGTATTGACAGCTCGGCCTGCATGCAGAGGACAAAAGGGGCTTTTGAAACTTTTTTTTTTTGGTGACATGAAGAATTAATAAGCATTACAATTACCTGCTTGAATTAGGAATCTATAGCAGTTCAGTTAAATGTAAAATCACCTCTTATTTAATGAGATATTTAATTACCTTCCTGGTTGAACCCATCACTCTTCCACCCTCTCCTCCTTCCCTGACAGCAGGGGAGTGCAATTGGCCTTTGACTGCAGTTAGGATGTAGAATCACAGTTGACGGTCTGGTAAAGGATCAAAGGTATGATTCATGTTTGCATTTCATGGTCCAGTCTGAGAGTGCATGAAAAAGCACCCAGGTGACAGCCCTGCTAGAGCTCCCCCTGCTGGACCTGCTGTGTTCCAGTCCCCACACTTGGCTAATGTGCTGCTAAGCTTCCTTTGGTTTGGGTAGGTTCCAGCAGCATCTCTTGCTTTGCCTCTGCTGCTTCCTGGGTTCATGCTGTGCCACAAAAGTGAGACTTGGTTTAACTGCCGTAGAGTCCCAGGACTAGTGCTAGCCATCCTGCTCAAACCTTCCCAGGTTCTTTAAGTAAAGCCCTTCCTAAAATTTCAGCCACCTTGGTCTTGTGACCCTGGTCAATGTGGGGAGGTGTTCAGAGTTCTTCCACTGGTGATCCATTGCCTTTATACATCAGCCTGCCTAGGCAGGCAGACTTTCTTGGTTCAGCCACCACCTTTGTCCTAGGGTGCAGAGGTTTTGACTAAAAATATATTATGTTTTAACAACCCTCCTCTTGTTAACCTCCATCTGTGTTATGGCTGAGAAAAAAGCAAGGAAGGCAGACTGTTAACCTCTCAACTGAAATGGAGTTTGAGGCCCAGAGTTTCATAACGTCATGCTGGCATTCAGAAGCTGCTTTGAGACTGATTTCCACAATCTTCACACCCAGCCTGAAGGGAGCTCTGACAACCAACTGAAGAATCACCCCATTGTCATCGCTCTTCACCCTCAGGTCTCAAAGTGTTGCCATAGGTTGAGTGCAGTCTCTAACCCTGAATCTTCAAAGTGTGAGACCGTCAGATGGAGACAAACTTCACTACCTGTCCTAGAATTCCTGCAACTGCTTTTCAAGGGGGCTTCATTTCAGTGCTGAATATAGTGATAGAAGAGCATATGGACAAATGCTTAAGAGGGAGAACTGCTCCTTGGCAACGTGCATCAGCTGCTACCATCTAACTTTCACATCTGCAAGAGGCTGTAGTGATACAAGTTAGCTGAATCACTCCAACTTTGGCCTTGAATGAACCAGGGTTAAAGCTGTAATGGTTTTGCTTCACTGGTTACAGAATCATGAAGATGTAACAGATGCCCTGTAACATCTGTTTATATCCTTTGATAGCAAAGCAGTTATGCCTGCCTGTACTCAGAGATTTGTATCTGTTTAGACACAAACTTGTTAGTGGGCATGCTGGGGTCAAGGGTGCTATACAACTATCAGATATTTGACTTGCTAAATGTGACTGATGCTTCTCTTGCACAGGATTTTGGTGATGCTGTTTACACTCTTGAAATACCTTTCCATGGCAAGACCTTTATTTTAAAGGTAAGGGTCTTTTGTATCTAAGCCCCTTGGCACATTATGGCTGTGTCACATGGCCAGAAACCATATGCAGAGGAGCCTTGCTTAATGTCCCAGATATAGTCAGACACTCGCTTCCTTTAGTACAGGTCAAAATTCTTCATGAACAGTAAAAAAATTCTTTATTAGCGCTGTCAAGCCTGTCAATTTGTTGTCCTGGGTAATAAAACCTCTGCTGTATTCTTGCACTGTTCTCTATTGTTCTCTCAGCAAAGCCTCTTCAGGGAAACCCTTTGGCTTGGCAGCTGAAATTAGACTGATTAGAGCTCTGATAAACATACTACAGCCTGGTCTTCATGGCCAAAAGTTGGACCCAGGGTCTAAAGACATGTCTTTCAACCCCAGGTTTTTTGTACTACAAGAACAGGCAGATCTGCCTTTGAGATCAAGACTGATTCTACTTCAGATATTGCTTGGCATTAGAAGTTGCTAGGAAGTGATTCATGGCAATGGCTTGGCTATAAACAATGTTTTCTTGAAGCATCCATGCTGTGGCTGGCTTTGCTGTGTTTCAGTACATATGCTGCCCCACTTAGAAATGGCAAGTGCCTTACTGAAGAGAGCACATGTTATTGCATTAAATTTCTGCCTCTAAAGATCTGCACGTGGCTGCAGACAAATGTGGGTTGTTTCCTTTTTTGCTGAAGCCCCTCTAATCTCCTCAAACAGCTACATAATCAAATGTTGCTGGTGGACTGAGGAGTGGAATGGTACCATACACTCAGTTTGTATTGAAAATCCATAGAGGAAGCTCACCTAGTCTTCGCCAGTACTGTCTGGCTCTAGCTAGTTCTACTGCTGCTATTTAGCTTTCTGTGAGCTTTTGTTCCATCCCTTTGGTAGTCCCTTGTGACCTTTGTTATCCTGTGCTTTTTAAATAATCTGAAAGGAGGGGAGCCAGATCAAATGGCTCAGTGTCTGCTTCCTCCTATCCCCAGGC